TATCAGAATAGGGACTTTAAAATTTTAATCTTCCACTAATCCTCCTTATCCAACAACCAATAACATCATAATTCAAGATTATGGTCTTAAAATGTTAAATAGATGGAGAAAGACTAAGAGAAATGAAAAATGTTACACAAATTGAAGATCAAAATAGTTCATCAAGTCTTCATCCTCCTCTAGGCACCAAGGGAACATTTTAGCCTTCAAGCTCTATTGAAGTCTTCCTCAAGTTCTTCCTTTGACCAAAATGCTCTATGACTTCAAGTAGAGATTGAGACTTTGGACGGAAGATCAAATGATAGGAATGTATAGAGGATGATGAGAGGAGAAGAATGATGGTGGTTTTGTGAAGATCTAATGGTTAGATGTGGAGATGGAGTGGGAGAATTCTAGAGAGAAGGAGGAGAAAAATGAAGAACCCTAAGAACTAGAGAGAGAAAAAAAGATGAAATGAAGAAGATGAATGCAGTGAGTGTTGAATCTCATTTTTTTTAGTGTATGGGGGAAGTGCATATTGGTTTCCCATCAGATTTGACTCATAAAATAATTCAAAATGAAATTCAAAAGCCTAAAAGAGTTTCATACTTAGCATACATGCCCTTAGATGGCACTTTCTCATTGGTTGGGTGATAATTTTTTATATTAATATGAATATTCTCATGCTTTACACTTAAAAAATCTAATCTACCCCATCCTTTAGCCATTTAGCATACCAATCTTGCCCAAAATGCCTTTCTTGCACTTCCTTGACCAATTGATGTAAGTTTAAGTACACACGTGTCCCCTATGTCACATAATGAACAAAATTAATCAAATAAATGCATGTGACATAATAATTCATATTTAAGAATATGAAATTAATTATTTAGATGGGATATAATAATAAAATTCAATCTAAGGGCTGCCCCACGTGAAACCATGCATTTGCACACATGCATAAAGCCCTAATTTGATCAATAATGTTAACAATCCTAAATTATAATTTTTTATTAATATCTTCCAAACCACATTGAGTATTTAAAATCTAACTTCATATTCATTCTCTTGGGCATAAAACACATTTTGACTAATTTTCGTGTACATTTTGACTTATTACACAGAATTAAAACAATTAAGAGAACATATAGATTTCTTTAAATAGTTGGAAACATATACATATGATAAAAAACAATAGAAATTATGTCCAGATTTTATAAAATAAAAAGGGTAGGAATAGAAAAATAAGTTAGTTTAGTAAGATAGTAAGATTTGAGTCTAAAATGATAGAGAGATTGAGCTTTAAAAGCTTGAGTTTGCAGTCAAATAAAAATAGTGAACCCAATGAAGAGATAGAAGAACTTCAAAATGGTCAAATTTTTGGAGAATCAAAAATTACTGCATAATCTTTTAAGAGTTATTGATCAACTGGTCAATGTCCACCTTTAAAGAAAAAGAGATTTTTTTTTGACCAAAAAAGAAAAAGAGATTTACAAAACTACTAGTTTTGATTTCCCTTATGATGCCTAAACAATAGAAAAGAAATAGGAATTAACAAAGAAAGACTATGTATATGATGAGGAAATCATTATAAAGTTTGGAGATAAATATAATTGGATACATATAGGCATGATATAGGTTGCAATTAAACCTAATTTTAGGTCAGGTTTGGATGAACCTATATTCATATGCCTTAGAGATGGAAGACAAGAAAAAGATTTTCAAAAATCTATAGTAGGAATAACACAATTAAATTTGTTTGAAAGACCAATCTTTTTTGATAGTTTTCCAAACTATGTTACAAGACTTAAAGATGATAATTGTAAAGAAGATTTAGTTATGGAAATAGGCAATAAAGGAAACTGAAAAAAGGGAACAACTTATATGGTTATACAGTACAAAATTATGTTTAAATCAAGAAATTCTTTGCTGTATAGTTTCATGAGCTACAGTGCTAAATTTATGATTCTAAGTTTAACAAGCTTAATTTATAACAAATGACAAAATAAAATTAAATTAATTATCTAACGTTTAGATTTATTGAGGAAATCATTGGCAAAAATATGGGAGCGCCCACATGAATCAGTCATTTATTTTTGGGATCAATCGAACATTTAACCAAAAACTCCTTTCAGCCCAAAAAAAGATAAAATCAATTAGTCAATTGATCTAATTAATAATGATACTACTAGTAAATTAAATTTAGAACAAACTGCCAATAATACATCATGAACTGAATTAACTAATGTTAATGACTATTTTATTTGAAATCTATAATACTTTGTATCATTAAAAAAATTTTAATATTAAAAAGATAAATTATAAATCATTAATAAATCAATTTTTGTTTATTATTAAAAAAAGTTCATATTCATTCAAACGTCTTTTCATTATTTTCCTTAAATTTAAGGACTACTTTCTCCACTAAAATATGTAAGGTATTTTTTGATAGTTAGATGTTTAAAAATATAAAATATTTTTAGTTTTTAGAGATGTAATTATTGCTTTTTTTTTTTCAAAAGTGTTCCTATTAAATTAATCACTTTACATTTATTTTATGATAAAACACATTATTAAATAGAGATAAATATAAAAAAATAGGGTTAGTTTGAAGATAAGTAATTACTTTATTGGAAGAGGAAGTATGTTGAATTGAATATTGAAATAAAAATAATAATATAGTACAATATTTATATATGATTATCATAAAAATGTAATAAATATTATACATTTCATTCTAGTAATTTTTCCATTGTTCTTGTTTTATTTATTTTTTAATAAACAAACTTTATTTTTTTATATTCATATTTTTTCTCACTGTCCATGCCACTACCATTCTTGTAATTTTTTCATTGTTTTTGTTTTATTTATTTTTTAAATGAACAAAATTTATTTTTTTTATATTCATATTTTTTTCTCACTGCCGATACCACCACCATTCTAGTAATTTTTCCATTATTCTTGTTTTATTTATTTTTTAAATAAACAAACTTTGTTTTCTTTATATTCATATTTTTTCTCACTACCAATACCATAGATTAAAATTTTTATTACACATTATAAAATATTTAAACTATCTAAAAATAACTTCTTTTGTAAACTTAAACAAATGGGACCAAAATCTCTAAGCCATCTAAAAATTATTTATTTTTTAATTTTAAATAAATGGGAACTTAATTGTTGATTTTAAAAACTATATAAATTAAAATGTTATCTTAATCTTATAAAATTTTAAAAAAAATTAAAATAAAGTTAAATTTTTTGAAAATAGGATGAATTAATACATCGCTCACATATAGATATCATAAAATGCCTCATGGATCCTAGCCAAAAAAGAAATACCTTATGGATCATGGTTCTACGGTGACCATTGATTATTTCAAATTCTTAAAAAAAAAGTCTAAATTCAAATTTTGGTATTAATCATTATCACTAACGTGTTAAATTTGTTAATGTGTATATAATTCTATTTAATTTTATTGATGCATTGATAAAACTATGATAAGTTAAATGAGTACAATGGTTACTAATCTTTTTGCTCATATGCCCTAACTGTGCATTTTCTTCCTTATGAAATTTTACGTATTGATTAAGGATTTTCATTTAATGTCTTGCTTTTTTTATTTTCTATTTTTTTTATACAACTCATCATAATTTTAATAAATTAATATAAAAAATAACAAAATTTATACACATGTTAGTTATTGTTAGATCTTTATAATTATATTTAAAATTATGAAAACTAACATTACAAATAGATGAAATTTAAGAGATTTGAAATAACAAAATAAAAGTATAGAGACTATTACCAAAATATGTTAAAAATAAAAGGGTTAAAAGTTATATTTTTTTTATTTTTTAATTAAAGTTATATGCTCCCTCACTCTTCTATATGTTTTGTTATTTCATTTCTTATTTTTTTCTCATACTTCTCCAGTACACGCTACAGTTGGGGGAAAATATAATTTCATAAATTAAAATTTGAAATTCCTTATAGAGGGAGAAAACAAATCATTTCATTATAATTTGTAACTTTTATTGACAAATTATTAACATGGGTAAAAAGTAAATATGAATTTTAAAATATTAATTGTTTTTAATTAGTCCATGTAGTTATATTTATATGATAAGTTAAACTAATCCATCCATTAAGATCAAGAAAATAAGTTTGACTCCAATTAAAATATTTAAAATTTATATGCCCAATATAAAAAATTAATCATTTAATCCTTATAGGTTTAATCTAATTATATCTCAATCCCTAAAATTTTAACTTGGTTGTAAATCAGTTTCTGAATTTTATTTATTGTAATTTAGTTTTTGAAATTTTAATCTCTTAAATATTGATCTCCATGTTTTAAAAAATAAAATTATAAAAATTAAAAAATATTTTAAAATTTACTACTCATATCTTAAATTATTAAACTTTTTTAATATTTATAATATTTATAAATATTAAAAGTTTAATATGTTTTTAATATTTATAATTTTATTTTTTTAAAATGTAGGGTGATATATTTCAGAGGTTAAAATTTTAAAGACTAAATTGTAAATAATAAAATTCAGGGACTGATTTATAACTCAGTTAAAAAAACTTTAAAGATTGATTTATAATTAAAAATTGAGTCATAATTAAATTATAATTTTAAAAATTAAATGATTAATTTTCCTTGCTCAACACTAATATTAATTGTATTGCCTTACGCATAAAAAAATTAGTAATCCCGTACTTGGGCAAAACAGAGAAAACTTGCTGAAAAAGAAGGGTCACTTTTATCCAAAAGAAAAAAAAAGGGAGCTAAAAACAAAACGGAGCTAAAAACAAAATGAAGGTCTCGAGGAATTTTTGAAAACGACGCTTCAGGAACGCTTTGTCCTTTTTCGCTCAAAAAAAAAAAAAAAGTTGCTCTACTGGAGCGCCTCTGGAAAAAGCGTTGGGTGGAAAGAACAAAGTTCCCAAACCCATATATGTTCGGGAGTCACGATTGCTCTCCCATTCTCCTCATGTACCCTAAAGCTTTTTTTCCTCTCTCTCTCAAAACTTCAGCCGCCGAACCCATTCCATCCAATGCTGTCGTCCATCTTCATACTTTAATTTTGCGCTGTTACAGTTCGTCCGTCACGTTATCGTAGAGTTACCGTCCTCCCGTCGTCGTCTGCGTCGATTTTAAGTCTCCCGATGTTTGCTCGTCGAGTCTATTGCTGTTGAACGTGTCTTGTTCGGAAATTGACACCATTGGACGCGATTTCCTCCATTTAGCGCTAGATCTGCTCGATTTCTCACCAAATTTGTTTGGTTCACTACTCCAGTCTGCGATTTGTGCCAGATCTGCTCTAGTTCGAAGCCGAAGCTGAGGCCGACGCCATTTTTTAACAAGTGCCGCCATGTGCGTTCAACTTCGTTGCTGTGTTGCATTGGTCTAACCTCTTCCAACCCCAACACCATTGGATTTTGTGTCTTCGAGGTATGTTTTGACAAACTCAGCCCATCACCCTAGGCGATTATATCATTTCTCGTATCCTTCGTTTTCATCACCAAATTAATGATTCAAAACGATGGTATGGCCCTTCGTATGTTGACGTGTTTCCATAGAGTGTTGTTATTTTTGGAGACTCTTCATGAAGCCTAACCCACATTAGTTTCTGTTGTTTCAAGTATCATATCTATTATTCAAAATTAACAGTAACTGCACTATTAGGTCCAATTAACAGTAACTGTGTCAACATAATTTTGTTTTCATTTACGAACTTTGATTTTTTTTTATTGCAGGGAAGAATTCCTTTATGTGGTTTGGTCCCAATCCAGTGGTGACTATCTCTGTATTTGAAAAACTTGACATTCCACTTGCTAAGCTTTTTAATAACTGGAGTAGTGGACTATAATGGTGAAACATTGATGATACACACAGTAATTATCAACCCTGTCTTTCATTTGGAGAAGTTAAGGTAGATTTTCTTCCTTTTCCCATGTGTTAATTCTCTTAGGAGTGATTTACATTTATTTAGAATTTTTGAAAATTGTGTTTATGTATGTGATTCATAGGTGAAGTTTGTGGCATATTTTCATAGTTTATTACATCAAATTTGTATTAGTTTCTGTTGTATCATATTTCATGTCTTAGGTTCTACTTGGCAGCGAGGACAATGAACGAAATATAAAAAGAATGAAATAATTGAATCAATAGAATTGAAAATTGATAGTATGATCTATATATTTTATAAATAACCAACGCATTATATATATATATATATATATAAGTTGCTGTCATGCAAGAGAAAAGAGAAGTCACGGGTTTATTGATTCATCCATAAATTTTATATATAATCAAAATATAAATTCACACATTAATTTTAGAAAAAAGAACAAGAAACAAAGTGACAATATATTTGTTTCCTTCTTACACCCACACATATACCTTCCCCACTTACCAGTCACTTCAATACACCTGGATGCATGCACATGCATGGTTTTGCTTTATCTATTTATATAAACATACATACGCTTGCATTATAGATATATATTAGAGTACTTTTAGTAGTAATTTTTTTTCTTTCACTAAAACAAAATTCACTATATAGGTACGTGTACCTAACTACTGAATTAGCGAACAAATAGGAAAAAAAATTTGTCTATGGGTTGTTGATAGATGTGCCCATCTCTAGCGACATCCTTTTATTAATATTTATATATAACTAATGTGTCATGAGACGCTTGGCTACATACTATATAGGCTGTATATTGGGTTGATCAATGTTTATTAGGAAGGACTTTTGCTGGTCATGACTAATGTAATACTCAGAAAATACTCCAATTCTGATCAACTAATCCGTACATAATTTAATATTGTTGGACAATATAGTGATAAGTGATACTCTTTAGTCTGTTTGTTGTTTCATGGTCGTGTGGCTTTCCGCTCAGAAAGTTCTGATTCTATTAGGTTGATGGTTCTGTTTGTTATTAAGCCTTGATGGATTAAATTGAATCACATTAAAACATTCACTTGTTTAGAATTTCGTACAAAGAACTTTCTCTGTCATAGACCAAAACAATAGTTAATTTAATTAGGCTACTTTAGCTGATATGTTTTTTTTTTTTTGGTGACCTGAATTTATACATGCACGCGCGCTCTTATATGAGTACATGATTGTGGTATTCATATTATTTACAACACTTTGGAATATTTGTTTTGGTGGATTCGTTGATGGATTTGGTAGGCGTTGGCATACTTGACTATGAAGCGTTTGATGATTCATTGGGGCCTTTGTGGTATTGTATAGCTTCCTGCTTTCTGATGCGATGATTGATCCAGGTTTGTTCCTTAAGATGTAGCTAGACAAACATACAACTTCAAAAAACAATAGCTATAGAATTTATGTTTATTGCCAACCTGTTGTTTTTGCTATGTGTTATATCAATTTTAGCTTAGGAGCACTCACATTTATGTGCCTGTTGCTAGCGTTGAGACTTCAACTTGCTATCCACTTTAATAGGATGGTTGTGTGGAATTTCACTCTCTTGAATAAATTCTGTTTTTGATTGGACCCATTTTCTTTTATTTGGTTCTCTAACTTCATGTTTCTATGCTATATTCCCCATTTTTTATGTTATTGATGTATGTTAAAGTTATAGGGATGCTTTATAGAGTATTTTGACTAGGACAAGACTTAAACATATATATTCAGAAGAGTTAGGTGCTGGAATTGTTATCTCTTGTGCTTTATATAGAATGATGGATCGGGTAGAATATTTTTCTACATTAAACTATGTTTTCTAGCTCTAATATGCTTTTAGGAAAAATATGGTTTATAAAAGGAAATTTTTATTTTTTTTTAAATATACATATAGGAGCACTTTTGTTAAAAAGCGGTCCTATAGGGCAGCCTACTGTGACACAAAAGCGCTCTCGTAGACTTCTTCAGGAGCGCTTTCAAATAAAAGCGCTCTTGTAGACTACCCTTATAGGAGCACGTCCTTCAAAAGCACTCCCTTAGGGACCCCTATGGGAGCACTTTTGAAACGCTTACAGGAGCGCTAGCTACAGGAGCACTTTTAGAAGTGCTCCTGTAGGCTAAAATTAAGCGCTCCTGTGGATTTTTTTTGTAGTAGTGAGTATAATTTAATTGAGCAATTGGTATCTCCAGTTCTCCGCCCTGCCGCAATCTCCCTCCTTCAAATTCTTGGGATTCCAAATCCACCATTCTCTTTGTTTGGAGCTCTGAACTCTGAAGTGGCGAAGTCTTCATCGTCATCTCTCCCCCCCAAGGTCGTATTCTGTGTTTGTCTCTCACTCTTCTCTCCCAAGTCTCCCCTACTCCTTCATCACGTCTCTGTGATTACCTCCTCCCATCTCTGATCTGCTCATTGTCAACTGTCTCCTATCTATGGACATCGTCGAACAAGATATGCTCATCCTGGGTCCCTCCTCTAGATTGCTTTGGTAAGGGTTTCAAGTTTCTCACATGGGTTTCTTTTGATTTGGTTGAAATCTTTTTAAATATTAAACAAGATCCACAATCTTTTTTAGAACAGAGCATGGGTTAATTGTCAAGCTCATGCTCCTCAAATTCCTTGATGAGATGACCAATAATCACTAAGTATGGAGGGTTTCCTTTTTTAAATCTGGCTCACATCATTGAGGCGATGCTTGGATCATTTCAGTTTTTGTAATCTTACACATTGGGGTTTTCATAGCCACCATTCTCGTCAATGAGAATTTATTTTCTTGTTTGCTCAGCTCGGGTCTCTCCTTCACATTGCTTTGGTAAGGGTTTCAAATTTCTCATAGGGGTTTCTTTTCCTTTGGGTAAAATCTTTTTAAATATTAAACAAACTCCACAATTTGTTCTATGAAGTATATATATTTTATATTATTGATGATGATGATGATGTTTCCCAACAGATGAGGATGTTTTCATATGATATACAATTGAGATTCTAATTTATCAACCTGCATTCCTTGTGTCTGTATCATCCCAAATGACGTCCGAACTCTTTGTGAAGGAGAGAAATCTGATCCTTCCAATTTTAATTTTTCAGTTGCGATATCGATGGTTTGAATTAATTTTCTAAATAATGGTCTGAACCCTGAAGTTTAATATTTTTATTTTTTTCAGAGATATTTTTAAGATAGATGCAAACTTAAAAATCTATATAGAGAAAATGAAAGAAGAAGATCTTTTAAGTAAATTTTGCTGAATCAGAAACCGTGAGCAACTTCCTTTAGTAGCTGCTAATTTAATTTTTCAAATGTGGAAGAATGAGAATGATGTTGAATCATGTAGTGGGAAACCGGATTAATAAGAATAAAGCAAAGAGGCTGTGTGTCGACTTGAAAAGGCTGCCTTGATTAAAATCTCTAGCTTCTTGATCTGGTCTGTGAATTATTGGTCCTTTATTTGAAATCAATCGTATCAATTACAGATTGATCATGCATATATATTTTTAATAAAATTAAAATCCTATCAAATCCATATATTGTTGATCAATGAAATGAATGAATTTATATGCCATCATCATCCTAATTCAATTTTTTAGCATTTTAATAATTCATAAATAACGTGACTTCAACAGCATTTGAAAATTATTTGTTCTAACAGCATTTGAAAATTATTTGTTCTAAAATTGACACGGCATGAATCTTGAATCTCTCTTGCTGTAGTCATACTCGAAGTTTTGTTTTGTTTTGTTTTGTTTTTTAACAGATCTGTTAAAGGATTATTGTTGCCGAGCATATTTTGAAGGATTGCATATTTGGCTGTTTGAGATCACACCTTCAACTGCAAGTGCTTGAAGCATTTTAAATTAGGTTGTATCCTCTCCTTCACTTTTACTTATCCTATTGCTAGTTGATTTCTGTGATTGGGAATTGTCTAAGGGTGGGGTAGGTATCTAGTAGGAAATGGTAAAAAAATCATCCATTGCATTTAGGTTTTGACATTTTGAAGATTTCTTTCCCTTAGGTGTTGCATTCATTTAGGTTGATAAGTTTGTTTGCATTGGGGGCTGTAACATTTAAGTGTTTTTTTTTTTTTTTTGGGGGGAGTGTGTTTCAAGTCCCTTTGCATGGTTTTTGGCCACAATTTTTTTTGGCTCTGTTTCTGAAAAAGCTTTAGAAAATTAAATAAAAAGTTTTGTTTTGATTCAAGAGTGCTTGGTTTGATGAGATTGCCAATGAGATTTGAAGTGTTAGACTTGGATGTTTCAATTGTAGCTAGGATAGGATGGAATGTTCTACTTGGTTTGCTTGAGCTGGGGCATACCATAGCCTTGATGGAAGGATATCTTGAGCCTATATTGGTTTCTTTCTAGTGTGCTTTATCCACTTATTCCTTTTCATTCTTCAGAACTTGTTCTTATTCTTTATCAAAGCCACTTTTGCATATGTATTGTGAAGATGATAAAGGCATTCATATAAAATAGCTAGCCTACCCAAATGGCCAACCCAACATGATTATATCCTTTGCTAGCCACTTTGGGCCTATTGGTTATTTTATTTCATTCCATTCATTATTTACACCCTTGTGCTTTCCTAGAATGCAAGTTATGCTATTGGGATCCATTTGCATATCTAGTATTCAAGTTATGGATATTCTGAGTTGTATTGAATATTTGATATGAATTCTAAATGGATTGAAGGTGAAAGCTGAAATGAATGTTTTGCAGCTGCTAGGAAAAAAGAAAAGGAAAGAAAACAAGGAGAAAAAGCCAAGAAAAGATTGTCAAAAAACAGAAAGAAAGAAAGAAAGAAAGGAGAAAAAGTCAAGAAAAGATCGTCAAAAAGGAAAAAAAAAGGGCAATAGGCAATGTGAAAAAATGTGGGGGAAAAATAGAAAGAAAGAAACCAAACAAAAGAAGAAAGCAGAAAAAGAAATAAGAGTTATTGCTTGCTTAGTTATGAATGACCTTCCTCTTAATTGCTAGTATTGTTGTATGTTTTCCATGTCTTGAACCTAGCTTATGCTTATGGATCCCAAGTCATTGGTTTGCTTGGCTAATGTGATGTATCCTTTTCCTCTCCACTTGCATTCCTACATCCACTTTCCACCCTTTACATTACAACCAAATGAAAGACCTTTTGATTCATGTATGCATTTTGATAATAAGTGGTGGAGGTTTAGAATATTTACAAGCCTATGGTAGAATGATTAGATAAGTGGATTTGAGTGAAAATTTACCCCTAAACACTAGTGAGATGAGAGTAAACACTTTTCCCTGTGCGGTTATTTGCCTAATCAAGTTTACTAGGTTTGCTTTCTGAATATTCTAGTTGCTTGAGAATCATTTGAAGTTGAGCATGGAGAATTAAATTGGCATAATTATCATTCTGAGCATGATGAACTCATTTATGTTTTCTATTTCTTACCTACTTTTCACCCTCATTTTTCTTGATTTTTATCACTTAATCATTACAAAAATAAGTTTTTTAAACACTTTTTTGGATCATCTGAGCTTTGATTTTGGGATTTTAAAGGTTAAAGGTTTTGGCCAAGATTGTAATCTCCAAAGATAAGTTCCAAAAATTCCCAATTTTTATTGGTTGGAAGTATTCGAGTCGTGCATTCCTAGGATGAGTTTAGTTTGAGTTATTCTTCCTAGTTAAGGAATAAATCACACATTACTTTATTGGGTTTGGAACTAATTTCAGGAATAATTGAAGTTTGATGTTATGAAATTTTATTATTTAAATTAACTAATATTTATAACAATTAATTTTTCTTGCCATTCTACTTTTGTTGCATGTCTCCTTTCTCTTGTTATGGATTTTTTAAAAGAGCTTGAGTCTCATTGGTGAACGAGCTAACTTGAGCCAATGTAAGTATAGATTGGCATCATTGAAGGGTAAGCTGAGTTAGATGCTCAATTTATTTTTTTTTTGTTTTTAAATGGATAGGGAGTTTTGTTCATTTTTTAATGTTAGGAGTTAATTTATTTCATTTTCACAAGGAAATTTTTTCTTCTCTGTTCTTGAGGTGTTTTTTTTTTTGCCACTTTAAACTTGACTTGTAATTGATGTTTATAATAATTGGTAATTATTTTCGTTTCCTCCTGCTTTTGTTGCATCTTCTCCTGCTGCTGTTGCTTTTTTCTAACTAATTTTCTTTCAATTGCAAACTCTTCTCTTTGTAATTTATTTGTAATTCATTTGAAATCTTCACTATTGTTATAAAGTCTTAACCTTATAATGTCAGCTTCTTGAAGCTCATGCATGATATTGAACTTTATTGCTTACGCAACTTTTTTTCATTGAAAATAATATATGTACCGAGCATATGATATTCTCTTGTATATGGTATGATCAATTTTGCGCTTGCTATTTTCTAAGAGAAGAGGTCAATGGAAGGCAGCCACGCAATCCCAAAAATTATATACATTTGATATTTCAATTTGAAGGAGTTGGACATTTGTGGACTGCTGATGCTGTCTTGTGTCATGCATCAAATGTGTGTGCTTAGATTTAACTTAAAGATCAAGCATATGGATAGAGGTTGCTTTCAATAATGTCTTTCTATTTTGTTCTCATCGGAAACTTAAATTATAAACTAATTCAAGAGTATGTAGTGCTGCTTTATTTGTTGAAAATATTCCATTTGTTCCTTACTCTGCTGACAGAACTTGTCATGTAGTATAGTTGTTTTTTGGCAAGAGTTTCAATAAGCAATAACAAGATTTTCAACTTGTACTAATGACTCTATCGGAATTGTCTTTGGCTGTGATTCTTAGGGTTGTATACGTAGACATTCTCTTTGTGGAAAGATTGACACTATTCCATCGGCAGGTCAACTATTAAAAGCTTGCTATCAGCATTTATCTAAAAAAGCTGATCACAGGTCCAATTATTTATATTTTTGCCAATTATTGTGTTATTTCTTCTATTTTTTATTTATCTATTTTATAGTTCTTAAATCATGAGTTATGCTTGACATTATTATATATGGTAATTATATATGCTTGACATGATTAAGAGCGGGGAAATGCGATTAATTAGTGTGTGGTATTTGAATTAAGTGTTATTTGGAAAAGTATGTGTTATTTTTAATTTGAAAAATATGTTATTTGTAAGTATTATTAATTAAACTAATCTTAGGATCAGTGTTAAATGCTTGACATTATTATATAAGTAGATTGTAATATTGGTGACCATGATGAAGAGCGGTGTATGTTGTGTGATTAATTTATAGTCGATCGATTTATTTTTCTTTTATTTCTTAATTACTCTCTTCTTCGGTAATCACTTCATGATAATGTGAAAAAGGTTTGGGGAGTTAATTATATTTTCATCTTATGTATGTAATTACTGTTTCTTATATATATATATATATATATATATTTCCTTATAATCTTTTTTTTACCTTTCCAACTCCTTCAATGTCTTATAAAGATCGACTTATACTCTTTTATTTCTTGTACGTCTCTTCATTTTATATTTCGATGTGAAAATGATTGGGGAGATTTTATGTTTTTATGTATGTAATTATTTTTTGCACTGTTTATTCTTTAAGCTTGTTCAGTCTTAAACGAGTAATTGTCTTGTTCGGTTTATTAAGTAATTGTCTTGTTCGGTTTATTTAGTCACAAAGGCAACCAAATAGCCCATCTAATGGTAATGCAGTCCTCATTACCATTGCATAGGTGCAATGGAATTGAGCTTTTTTTCCCTCTCTCTCAAAACTTCAACCGTCCATCCCATCCAATGCTGTTGTCCATCTTCATACTTTCACGTTATCTTTTTTTTTTTTGGGTTAGTTGACCAATTTTTTATTTTCTTTTTCTTGATCACTTTTTTTTTCATCTATCTCTTGGTCTTATTCACATAATTATTAATTATATATTTTGTTTGGATGGATTTGATGTCGTTCTTTTTCTTATTTTTTATACTTATTGCTGGATTAATTTTGATTTATAATGTTGCAGGAAGGGACTGTTTTTTTTGTCTTTCCTATTTTGTATGATTATTGCTTGATTATAAAGAAATAAAATTACTGACGTAGATATAAATATAAATGAACAATACAAAAATCAATAAAAATCAATAATTACACCAACGAAATTTAAAAAGAAGGTGTAGTAGTGCAGGAGTAGATGTGTAGCTCCTAGACTTGGTCAAGCCTTGCTCTGGTCAAGCTTTTTTTACAATCATACCCAAATGGATATATTTGTAATCTTTCTGGATTAATTAGATTTCTCAGAAATCAAGTCAATCATCTCTCCATCGGCATCTCCGATTTTGAGAGAAACACTACGCTTAACTACAATTCCTCTTAGGAGTAGATTCTGACATTTCAGATATGAGCAAGATAATCTAGTTGGGCAATTTGCTAATCTAGATGGAATCTTCTAACATTGAAGAAGCCAAGTATGAGTGTCCTAGACACATGATCCATGAAATCCTGTTTGTTTAGATGGGTACCCTGTTCTCAAATTGAGATAATAGTAATCAAATAGTAATTGCTCAATTTATCATTAGGTTAATAATATAATTTAACAATGATTATCCACTTCCATTATCCAAATAAATAGCTTGTTCACGAAGCGATGAAAAGAAGGCGGCCCGCCGCAAATGGGAATGACTAACCATTATCATATCTATTAAAATTAACAGTAACTGCACTAGGTCTTGGTGACTATCTCTGTATTTAGTTATACCAAACGTGATTTTGGGAGCATCTAATCAGAAACAGAAGCCTACTGCAACTAACAGAAGACAGAAAATCGCCCTTTGGACTTGGATGTAGAGGAGCATGCTAATTTACACAATCATTATTTCTTGTTTAATTTATAGGCTTGAAGTATGCATGCATGTATGCATATATCCACTTGTTAAATAAACTTTCACTTGAGACGAGGCGCCTTAAGAATAGCAAGTATATGAGAATGCATCGAGGCTAGACTGAATAATTAAAATACAAGTGTGTGTGTGTGTGTGTGTCCTATATGACGTTGACGAATGACTTCCAACCATCAACAAGTACTTCAAAGAAGTGCTACATACACTCATGTCCCTGAATTGTAGCAAGATATAAGCGAATGTTAATGCGACAATACTATTGTTGTCCTCGAGCCAATGGAATCAGTACTCTGTCCCTCTCACTCGGTGCCTCATCCGGATAGTCGCTTCCTCTCACTCGGTGCCTCATCCGGATAGTCGCTCAACTTCTCTGTTCTCGGCTTCTCGCTATCGCTCGTTGCTTGCTTCCTTCTCGCATCTCGTTTGCTCGGTGTTGCTTCCCTTTATCAGATTGATTATAATCGTCCGACAAAGCTCTGCTCGCGATTCTCCTGTAGCTGTCGTTGGTTTTCTGAACTCGTGGGCCAGGTTGGTTTATCTGTTGCTCACCGTCTTGCTCGTGCAATGCTCAGGTTCGTCCCCTCATCTTGTTCCTTGCTCTCTGATTTGATTAATTGGATTTTTGTTTTGGGATTTGCAAATGATTGAATACCTCCTCGACCTCCTCGAGAGACGCAAATGATTGAATACCTCCGCGAGAGACTCTTAATCCCACACATATATGGAATAGTCAGGAACCACGCTACTTCACATTAGAAAACAACACCTATACGTTGCATTTGTATTATTTAACTTTGTGAATTGGAAGGGGATGTCTCATTTATTATTATTATTATTTTTTAATCAGTTAATTATTTTTTCCTTTTTCTCTGCGCTAAAGTATGGTGTTTATTTATTGTTATTCTTGGTTGCTTTGGCTATGAGATATAACCAGGGTCTCTGTGACTTTGTATCATTCCAACCACTCCAAGTATCTCCCTAGTGACCTTTTAAAAATGATCAGAGAGAGGGGCATCATGTGTTTGCTAAAGGGAGAGAGGTGCTGTGGGAGTGGGAGGTGGGGAACCTTAGTGGAAACACTTCATTGATTAGCTTTCTTTGACATCGTGTGATCCATTTGATTATGCAGGAAAGTGACTGCTAAATTCCAGCTTTCATTACAAATCCATTTCATTTATTACTATACAACTATTAGTCTGGCCATGTAAGGATGGCTTCTGCTAGTACTACAAATAGTCAAGCTAATGTGGAAAAGCCAGCACCTACTGACTCTTATACTTCAAGTAAGAAAGCTACATGCAATGTTGTGGAAAACCATTTGTTATTGGTGGCATAACCCGTAACCTGCTTATGTGGGTTATGCCAACCCGCAACCCGCCCCACATAACCCGCGGGTTTATGCGGGTTATGCCAGCCCGTCCCACATACTTGCAACCTGCTTATCAGCTCTACCTTGAGTGAAGGTGATTTGCAAAGAGGAGGAATAGGGTTTGGGATAGGCCTTTGAAAAATTAACGACATGTTTCTTTGATGTTCACAACACAAAGGGAATCGAAGGTAGCGAGGGCTGAATGATCAGCATAGAGGGACAATCGTCAACAAAAAACAAAACAGTGCATTTAAGCAAATGATCAATTTAGAAGTGGGAAAAAAAGACAAATTAATTTAGTCAAATAACTATTATAAGTAGAAATAGAGTTAATACATATCAAGCAAATTCGCATTGATTATAACATGCAAATTAATTAATAAAACAATTACATAAACAAAATAAATAGAACGCATAAGAGCTATATAATGAAGAAATAATATGGGTAATTAAGCAAATAATCAACAATGTTACATAGACAATTGATTACAACCACATCATTAAAAAAATAAAAGTACAGCAAAAGAATATAACCAGATGAAGGGGCAACTAAAGAAACAAAAGAAGGAGAAAAAGAAAAGAAAGAAATTTAGATCATTTATTTGTTTTATTATTTTTTGTCATTGCTTTCTATCTGGCCACTCAATTGAATTAGATTATGCTTGCATATTAAGGAATATATCTTGACTTTAGCATTATTTTGATGCTAATTTTATTTTTTTTTCCATACATGTATTTCTTAGACATCCTTTCATTACTCATATTATAATCTAATAAAGTTCACTTGATTCATTACAAGTGCTAGTGATGGAGATGTAGAAGGGTAACAAATTCTAGGGTTTATCTTAAGGAATTTTGAGTGAAATTTACTAGAAAGGCTTAATTCTTGGTAAGGGTTTATTTGTGATGTGCATAATTATTTTCTAATTATTGTCACATTGATTGATAATTTGTAGAAGTTCATGAGCTTTGAACATTATTTTTCTCTTGTTTCTTTGTCTTATAGTTTCTTTTGGAATCTTTTTCACTTGATTTTGCCCAGAGTGCAAAAGATAAGTGTGGGTGAATTAATAGAACACATTTGTTATCCACTTTTATTTATCAATTAGGACCCTTTTATTACCTTTAAGTGCACATTGCATTAGATTTGAAATTTTGCCTAAGTTTTCTAGGTTCAGTGCACTAGGGGCATTTTGGTCTAAAAAATGAACTTTTGAGAAAATGTACAATAAAAATTAAATTGAATTTTATGTCCAGTTGATGAGTGGTGAAATCTAGGGTTTAATCATCTTAGCTTGTAAATTCTAATTTGAATTTGATGTTGATGTGAGGAGGGGGGATTGTTTCATTTAATTTCTTCCTTGGACAGCCACGACTGAATTTTGTCACTCTCTGTTTGGCACATAATCTTGTATTTTTCAATTAGTGAATTACTTGTGTTAATATTGTATAATCTTGTAGTTAATGCTTGTGTTGTTGAGTAGCTTGACATAATCATTATTGTTTTGACCGTGGGTGTTGAGATGAGATTGAATCACTTGGCTAATTTTTACACCAATTGGTTAATTGAAATAGGGACTTTAATTTAAGACCTAGGGAGGTTAGTTAGTTAGGTTAATTTAGTCATAACATCTTTAGTCAAGAGGAAGCTAAACTTAGCCTAATCATGAGAAGATAATGAGTTTAAAATCAATTAATCTCTAAGGTTCCATTATTATAAAAAAGGAAGTTCATTTCACTCATTTTCACTAGCATTTTAATTACTTGCACATTAGGTAAATTAGTTTAGATAATTAGCTAGGTAACTAAATTTCTACAAACTTTGATTGATTTATTTTACTAGATAACTTTCAATTAAACTTAAAATCATTATTCCTTGGGAGATAACTTAGGTTTGACCTTATATTGCATTAGAGTTGCCTTTAGTTTAATTTTGAGCATAAGTGACTAAATTCCTATCAGCGGGCTCATGGCAAGTGTTGGAAAGGTACAAACAAGCCTTGACAACGCAAGGAAAGCTTGAGGAAAGCATTCGCAACATCACGCAAGATTGTGATAAGTGTTGGAAAGGATTATGGAAGTGTTGTCAGTGTCGTGCATGCTTAATACAAGTATTATTAACATAGGGCGGGCTCATGGCAAGTGTTGTCAAGGTATGAATAGGCCTTGGCAATGCATGGCAAGCTTGTGGCAGCCGTTTGCAACCTCACGCAATATTCTAGCAACTACTAGCAAGGCCTATGGAAGCGTTGATAGTCTCATGCATGCTTGTGGCAAGGGTTGGCAACCTAGGGCGGATTCGTGGCAAGTGATGGCAAGGTACGAACAGGTGTTGGCAAGGCAAGGCAAGGCAAGCTTGTGGAAGCCATTTCCATCCTCACACAAAATTGTGCCAAGTGTTGGCAAGGGCTACAAATGCATTGACAACCTCGTGCATGCTTGTGGCAAGTGTTGGCAACCTAGGGCTGGCTTATGGCAAGTGTTGGCAAGGTACGAACAGGCATTAGCAGCCCAAGTCAAGCTTGTGGCAAGCAGTTCCAAACTCACACAAGGCAAGTGTTGGCAAAGCTCACGGATGCATTGGCATTCTCGTGCATGCTTTTGGTAAGTGTTGGCAACATAAGTTGGGTTTGTGGCAAGTGTTGGCAAGGTAAGAACTGGCATTGGCAACGTAAGGCAAGCTTGTAGCAGGCATTTGCAACCTCGCGCAAGATTGTGGCAAGTGTTAATAAGGCTCATGGAAGAGTTGGCAACCTCGTGCATGTTGGTGGCAAGTGTTGGTAACCTCGGACAAGCTCATGGCAAGTGTTGGCAAGGTACAAACAGGCCTTGGCAACTCAAGGCTAGCTTGTGGCAATCGTTTGCAACCTCACGCAACATTATGGCAAGTGTTGGCAAGGCCTATGGAAGTATGGGCAGCCTCATGCATCCTTATGCCAAGTGTTGGCAACTTAAGGCAGGCTCGTGGCAAGGCAAGGTAAGCACAAGCTTTGGGAACATAAGGCCAGCTTGTGGCAGGCATTTCAAACTTGACGCAAGATTGTGGTAAATGTTGGCATGGCCCACGGAAGCATTGGCTGCCTCTTGCATGCTTGTGGTAAGGGTTGGCAACCTAGGGTGGGCTCATGACAAGTGATGGCAAGGTACGAACAAATGTTGGCAACACAAGGCAAGCATGTGGCAAGTGTTTCCATCCTCATGCAAAACTGTGGCAAGTATTGGTAAGCGATGCGTTGGCAACCTCTTGCATGCTTGTAGCAAGCATTGGCCACCTAGGGCAGGCTCGTGGCAAGTGTTGGCAAAGTATGAACAGGCGTTGGCAACGAAGGTCAAGCTTGGGCTAGGTGGTTCCAACCTCACGCAAGATTGTGGCAAGTGTTAGCAAGGCCTATGGAACTGTTGGCAGCCTCGTGCATGCTATTAATAGGTGTTGGCAAATTAGGGTGGGCTTGTGGCAAGTTTTAGTAAGGTTAGAACAGGCGTTGGCAACGTATGGCAAGCTTGTGGTAGGTGCTTGCAACCTCACGCAAGATTGTGTCAAGTGTTGGCAAGACCCATAGAAGAGGTGGCAGCCTCATGCATGCTGGTGGCAAGTGTTGGAAACTGAGGGTGGGCTCGTGGCAAGTGTTGGCAAGGTATGAACAGGCCTTGGCAACTCAAGGCAAGGTTGTGGTAATTGTTTGCAACTTCACACAAGTTTGTGGCAAGTGTTGGCAAGTCCCATGGAAGTGGGTGCGGCAAGTAGAAAAGGCTGTCACCATCATGCGTGGGGTTGGAAAAGGCTGTCACAAGCTTGCCTTGTATTGCCACAGCCTGTTCTTACCTTGCCAACACCTCCCACAAGCCCGCCTTAAGTTGCCTTAAGTTGCCAACACTGCTACAAGCATGCACAAGGCTGCCAATGATTTCGAGGGCCTTGCCAACACATGCCACCATCATGCATGAGGTTGCAAAAGCCTGCCACAAGCTTACCTTATGTTGCCAAAACCTGTTCTTACTTAGTCAACACCTCTCACAAGCATTGCTAACACTTGGCATAAGCATGCACGAGACTGCCAACTATTCCATGGGCCTTGTCAACACTCACCGCATTCATGCGTGTGGTTGCAAACACCCGCTACAAGCTTGCCTTGCGTTGCCAAAGCCATTTCTTACCTCACTAATACTTGCCACGAGCCCGCTGCCAACACTTGCGACAAGCAT